AAAAAACTAACATTTAGCAAAAATGGCAAACCACCAAGAAGTTAAACGGGTCTAAATAAGATAGCTAGATTTGTATCAAGCTTTTCCACCAGGGTCTCCTGATGATGCATCGTTACTCTCACGTGTTTTCCAGGAAATGTTCAGCAAGACGTCTGAGAGATCCGTACATTGCCTTCTTATAGCGCCACCTTGTGGTCAATTCTTAGACCAAAACTGCTGCAAGACGTCTTGATAATCAGACATGTCTGGCAGCTGAGATTAAAGGCATCTTTAGATTTTTCCCATGACATATTTGTAAATGTTCAATACAAGGACAGGTTTCCAAATACTGTACATTAGTGTCTCGTGGCGAGGGGCCGCTGAGGGCCGGTCAATTGCATCCCATCTTTACTGACATTATATCATCTGTCATATAATTTAATTAGAATAATCTGCACAAGATGCTGATTTATCTCAGCTTTTTGAATATTTAAAGCTAAAGTGTGAGACTGTATTTTATTTCAAATTAAACTATCCATGATCATACCCTTGATTTGATTTTAACCCATGTTTTTCTATTTCAAACAGCAGCTTTTGCTGATCACAGGCCGGTTCTTGTTACTCCTCAGAATCCATCGCTGGCACGTCTGACTCGCTCGCTTAACATTCTAGTGAAGATTTTTCTGTAGCCTACCATGATGAATGCAACTCTCTGGACCCTGCTTAATCTGGACACCGACGCACATCTTAATCTTTTTAATTCTACCTGTGCAGATATCATGAATTCTATTGCCCCCCTTGAATGATAAAAATCGTTGTAGACGGGCTGAACGCAAATGGAAAACGGAAAGATTGCAGGTTTCTTATGAAGTTTTGAGAAGCTCGTATAACATGTTTCAGACAGATGCAAAATGCAAACATTTGTCAGAACTTATCGGAACAAAATTGTCATAGTCATAGAGTCTCGAGTGATTCTGGGAAATCCATGGCTTTAGTTTTATTAGATCTGGGTGCTGCCTTCGATTCGGTCCTGTTGACTCGTCTGGAGATATCTGTGGGCCTTCGTGGCACAGTCTTACAGTGGCTCCGTTCTTATCTGACCAACAGATGTTTTAGTGTTTGTATCGGTCACCAGACCTCCTCTTGTATACCTCTTAATTGTGGAGTTCCACAGGGATCAATCCTGGGCCCGGTTTTGTTTACCCTGCACACACTACCTCTGGCTTCCATTTGTAACAAATATAGAGTATCCTTTCATCTATATGCTGATGATACTCAGATCTATTTTCCTTTAAAGCATAGTGATAAAAATGGCTTACAACCACTGTTGGCCTGCTTAGAAGAACTTAAGCTTTGTAATTTTCAAAATTTAAATGAAAACCAAAATAATTCTATTTGGGCATAAGGAAAATTGTGTGTTAGATAAGTTAGAAACTCAATGCGCAAGAAATCTGGGCGTTCTATTTAATCATAACTTAACATTTGACAGACACGAGTACTGTTGTAAAATCATGCTTTTTTTCATCTCCGTCAACTTTCTAAAGAGAAACCCTTCTTATCACAGAGTCATTTCCAAGTTCATTTTCTAGTTTCCAAACGGTGATTCACGCTTTTGTAACAACTCGTTTAGATGATTGTAATTCACTTTATTACGGTGTTTCTCAGTCTTCCCTCTCCCGTCTACTCTAGAGCAAAACACAGCTACTAGATTACTCTCATGAACCCGCAAGCATGAGCCGGTAAATCCCATTTTATCTGGTTACCCATTAAAAATAGAATTGATTTTAAAATTCTATTATTTGTTTATAAAGCCCTCAATACCTGACAAACCTGCTCCGCCCGTACACCGCTTCTAGATCATTGGGATCCAGTGATCTCTGTCTGCTCATCGTGCCTAGATCTAGACTTAAAAAACAAGGTGGCTGCTCTTTTGCAGCTGCAGGTCCGAAACTCTGGAACAGTCTACCTCTTCACATTAGATTAGCTCCCAAGAGAAACCAAACCAGAATATGGTGCTGAAACAAGAGCTGTTTATTAAAGGAAGACACTAAAAACTCAAAGAACACAGAAAACGCAGACAGGCAGACGTATATATGCAGGTCTGACCTCACTTTGGTTTTACAGAGACGTCAAACTGCACAGAAGCAGGAAGAAAGAAGCTCAGAGAAACGTGAGTGTGAAGTGTTAAAAACATGATGCTGTGAGTTTCCCTTTGATACAGTCGGTGGAGCTCCTCTATCCATGAGTACAGGCCAAAGATACAGTTTAAGGAGATTGTTGTCGGCTCACAGATGGAATAATATTGTGTTTCACCTGATCCTCACTGCGGCCCCAGATCTCCAGACAGACCCTGGCCCTCGCCGTGATCGGAGCCCCAGAGCCGGTAGAACTGTGTGAAGTCGACGTATGGAGGCACTCTTCCCGTCTCGTCCGGTTGTGCTGCCTGACTGCCTCTCTGCCGGAACAGGCTTCCGTCTCCGGAGCTGGAGCTGGAGCTCTGCGTGTGTGTGTTGGTCGACTGCAGCGTCGCCGTGGGACTCTGACTGAGGGGAGGAGCACAGACACACAGAGGGGTGGAGTCAGAGTGAGGGGCGGGGCCAGAGGGAGGAGCACATACACACAGAGGGGTGGGGTCATAGTGAGGGGCGGGGCCAGAGGGAGGAACACAGACACACAGAGGGATGGGGTCATAGGGAGGAGCACAAACACACAGAGGGGCGGGGTCATAGTGAGGGGCGGGGCCAGGACTCTCACTGATTGGCTGTAAGGCGTCTATGGTCAGGGGAATCAGGGGTGTCAGTAGACTACAGTTAAACCATGGACCGTGGAGAGAGATTTATGCGTTATTGATAGAGTTACGAATGCATTCAGCTGAAGGAAACAACATTAGCTGGGCGCAGGATTATTACAGCTAACTAAAACTAAACCATAAAAAACATTTACATTATTTTATAATTGAAATTGAATTTTTTTTAACTGAAATATTTTCATAGTTTAACTTAATGAACAAAAATAGAAAACAGAAAAATTATAAAACTAAAATTATGAAAATATTAGCAAAAATTATATATATATATATATATATAAACAATGATAAAATGGCAAAACAATTTTAATAATTAAATTACTAAAACTTAACATTAAACAGGAAACTTCTCATTTTCATTTAATTTAACTTTGAATTAAATAAATCAATTATGAAAATAAAAACAATAGAGACAGAAAAAAACGAATAAAAATGGCAAACTAAATTACTAAAATTAAAAAGGAAACATAATTTCTCATTTTCATTTAGTTTAACTTGATGTACTAAAATAAAATAATAAATACAATTCTAAAAATAAAAAGTAAAAACAATATAGACACATTAGAAAAAAAACAATAACTAATAAAAATAGCAAAAACAAACTAAATTACTAAAACGTTCATTCTTTGTATTTATTTTACAAAGCAACATTTCCTATTTTCATTTAGTTGAACTATATACATATACTACTAAAAATGGCAAAAAGAGCACAAACTAAATGACTAAAAATGAACCTAAAATGAGAAAGGAAAAAAGCGCTCCTAGGCGCGGTCAGCGCTGTGTTACCCAGCGGTCGGTGTGTCTCCCTCCAGCGTGGACGCAGTGTTGGAGCCGTTGGTCAGCGTTCCCTGCGCCGGCATGACCAGAGACAGCATGACGCTGGTCTTACTGGTGCTCTGATGGTTCGAGTACGGCACAGACACCGGGTAGATCCGTCCTCCTGCACACACACATCAATGCTAATTATGATGCAGAATATAAACTCGGACTGGACGAGACGCGCTCAGAGTCTGTGTGATGATGCTGATTAAAACACACACTGATTGTGTATTAATGCACTGGTTTCGAAAGCCTACACTAATATAATACGTGTAGGAGGAATCGTTCATGCATATGGTTATTATTTTGTAAATGTAACTATTAAAATACAGTTAACCATGGTTAAGATTTGTCGACCAATATAGATTTTCTGATGCCGATGTCAATGGCAATATCATAAGGAGCCGATTTATATGATATCACACTATTTACAAATAATAAAATAAGATATGCTGCAAATAAATGGATAATTATTTGACATAAAATGTACCAAATTTGAAAATGAATAAATATGAAAAACGAATGTGATCTTATTAAAAAAGCACCGTCTCCCTCATCTAACACACCCGATTAAACTCATCAGCTCATTAGTAGAGACTTCAAGACCGGAAGTGGGTCAGAAAAGATAAAGAGCACATAAACACACACACAATGCGTGTCAGATCCGCGCCACGCTCAGCAGCGGCAGCTCTTAAAGTAATAGCAGCAAATAACCTAATAACCAGCTGCTGTGATGTCTATTAATCAAAGATCAAAAGAAAAAAGAGGAAATCAATAACTTCTGTAGCTTTAAGGATTCATCTATATTTAATTTAGTGTTTGATACTTAATTATTCAATCTCGGTGTGTTTCCTACTTGCTGAAGGCCACAGGTAAATATGACATTTATTATAATGCGTTTATGTGAAGATTGTTTTAAGTTCACTTAAAACAGAAGTTGTTGTTTTTTAAAGTCTAATAAATGTCAATAAAAATGGATAGCTCTCAATTATACTGTAATGTTAGTACAGTCAACATTACAAATAATCAATGGTTAAATATTAGGAAAAATAATAATTTCCTAGAGACATCAGCAGTACCGGTATCAGCGATTCTCACATTCAGCCACAAAAAAAAGAATCCATTAAACAAATATTACAAATATACTATCTTTATGCGGTTTCTACATTAATTTAGACATTGAATGTGAAATGACTGCAATATAAAAGTATATTTAAAATCTTTAATGGTAGGTGGGATTAACCGCGATTCATTTTAGAAAAAATGTGATTGATTAGTTAAATTTTTTTAAATCGATTGACAGCACTAATGCATATATATATATAAAAGAAACCCTAAATCTAATGTGACAGTCTAAGATCTTATTGTTTACTAAAGCAATAATCCCCGTGAAGCCGTGGTTTACAGTAAATTATAACAGCTAAATGCTAATTTCATATACGTAGTAAGGCTTCACAAAATAAAACAGAGCAAATAAAGTGTAATGATATTAATAAACACAGTATTCTTCCACCAAACAATGTAGCTCCTCAGAAACAGTTGTGGTTGCTACAAAGTGGTTGCCGAGCAACACACAAACGTAAACAAAGGTGTGTGTTACTTTGTAGAGAACGGCTTCGAACGCGGCTCAGCCAATCAGAATCAAGGACTTTCATTAACCTGTGTGTACTGTGGTTTATAAAGCAGGTGGTTGTGGTTCTGGCTTGTGATTGGTCGAGCCCACAGCTGCGTCTCACCTTGTGTGGGTGTGAGCGAGCCGTCTGCGAGTGTGTAGTTAACGACTCTGATCAGAAGCGTCATGTCTTCATGTCTGGCGCAGTGTGGCGCCCTCTGTCTGCCGCTCACGTATGAGTCGTGATGCAGACGCTTGACGCGCTCCACCACCGACTGCGCAGCCGCCTCCAGACTGCTCTGCTGCGCCAGCTCCGCCGCTACCATGGCAACGATCTCCTGCCGGGGAACATGGGAAATGTAGTCCACAGATATTGAAACAATGCTGCAGGACGGATGTGACTAGAATATTCAGCAACCGAAATTATTGTATAAGTGAAAAGACCGAATAAATTGTACTGAACAATTACGTGACGCGATCAAATAGAGGAACGCACTAATGCAGCAAACACGAATGCAGTGTGGAAGAAATCATAAGCACCGACAGCGAGAGACTGTTTAGTACTGCACTGCATGATGTCTCCGATGAGAAGAAGAAGGGGGTTTGGTTGTTGCTGGTTACTGTATGATGATTGAAATCACCAAATGGCCTTAAACAGTTAGTAAATAAACGGAAGAACGTTATTTTTTCTTATGCACGCATGAACTGCATGTATTCTGAACTCGCGGTGCGCCAGAGTCCAAAGCGCGAGGAAAATCTGCGCTGAAACAGTGTTAATCGTCAGTTGCTCAGTAATTAATTTTTTTCTCCTTGTTTAACTGAAGAAAGTTCTGGCACATCCAACTGTTAATTTCATCAATGCATTGGCAGAGGGAGTCAATGGGGCTGTAGTCATTTGGAGATAAGGCTAGGTACATCTGGGTATCATCTGCATAGCTGTGATAGGCGATTTGGTTCTCTCGTTAATTGACTTCGTGGGAGCATATACAGGCTAAACAAGAGCGGTGCAAGAATCGAGCCTTGTGGGACTCCACTTAGACTTGTGCTCTCCTGTACTCACATAATAACCTCTCCATTCTCAGTATGACCTGAACCATTTGAGTACCATCCCAGAAACCCTGACCCAGTTTTCCAGTCTCTCTAGCAGTATGTTATGATCGACAGTGTAATTGTAATTGATTTTGTCTTTGAAAAGCGAGACAAAACAGTAACAAGCACATTTTGGCTATTTAATTTATGCAATGGTGGAAAAAAATGGCAAAATACATGGGGGGAAAATGCAAAAAAAAACGTGTTCGGTATTTGGCCCAGTATTTAATTTTAGTTGGCTTCGGGCCAAGTCTGTTTTCACGCCGGCATTTGCACTGTTTGCTGCGACTAAATCTGTGAGCAAACCATGAGAGTTAACATTCTCTTGATTTGTGCTTATGTGAAAGTGCAATAATTGTGATGAAAAAAATTACGATAATCATGATTATATTTTTGAGCAAAATAATCTTGATTAACCACTGAACCATTGTTGAATTATAAAAAGAATGTAATACTGTAATACTGAGAGAAGAATTAAACGCCCAGACTTTCTATCAGCGAAAATAAAACAGGATAAGTTTGACTAAATGTGATAAAAATTAACAAGGACATTTGACACAAGACCAGACTAAAGTAAAAAAAGAGTGTGAGTGTGTGTGTGTGTGCGAGTGTGTGTATGTGAGCGTGAGTGTGTGTGCAAGTGTGTGTATGTGTTTGTGTGTGTGATTGTGTACATGTGTGAGTGTGAATTAGTGTGCGAGTGTGTGTATGTGAGAGAGTTTGTGTGTGTGCAAGTGTGTGTATGTAAGAGAGTGTGTGTGTGTGAGTGTGAATGAGTGTGCGAGTGTGAGTATGTGAGATTGTGAGTGTGTGTGTGTGTGTGATCGTGCGCGTGTGTGTGTGTGAGTATGTAAGAGTGTGTTCCTAGGTATCTCTCTCTCCTTCTCATTCTAACAGGACCTTCTCTTGACCCAGTGAGGCTCTTGTAGACTGTCAGTCCAGCTGCCCACGGGCCCTAATTATTAGGGTGTGTGTGTGTGTGTGTGTGTGAGTGAGTGTAAGTGTGTGTGTGTGTGTGTGAGTGAGTGAGTGTGTGTGTGTGTGCGAGTGTGTGTATGTGAGTGTGTGTGCAAGTGTGTGTATGTGTTTGTGTGTGTGATTGTGTACATGTGTGAGTGTGAATTAGTGTGCGAGTGTGTGTATGTAAGAGAGTGTGTGTATGTATGTAAGAGTGTGTGTGTCTGTGTGTGATTGTGCGTGTGTGTGTGTGTGTGTGTGAGTGTGTATGTAAGAGTGTGTGTGTGTGTGTGTGTGTGTGTGAGAGAGTATCAGAAACACACCTGAGCACGTCGATGTCTGTGTAGTTGAATTTGACTTTATAGTCTCCGATCCGTCGGGTGCTGCTCTGACCTGAGATCAGTCCAGTCTGCCTCAAGCGCACCGGATCCAGACCTGAGACACACAATCATTCACACACTCGACATGCTCAGCTGAGACACAATCAACACTTATTGCTAAAACATAATAAAAAATAAAACCGTCCAGCATGAGCATGTCATTCAACATGCTGAGGTGTCAGAAACCACGTAAACACAAGATGGCACCAAAGAACCTCTGAACCAGTTCATATATGACGATTGAGTCAGAGTCATATTACTGTCCGAATCACAGCCCTGCTGATGTGAATAATATCAATCATGTTGAGAAGACAAAGAGAAAAGCACTCACTGCTCCTCTTCATTACTGACAACTTATGTGAATAGAGTAACAGTGCATTTTAGAACTGCTGATTAAATGAAATAAAACCAAAATCATGGCTTAAAGCCATCGTCATATATGAACTTAAAGTCATTATTAAATAGCAAAGGTGGTGATTTAATGAAATAAATACATGGGTTGTGTGTTTTAGAGTGAAACATGTCACTGTGTTCATTTACACATGAGCAGCTCATGATTTCAGAGCACCTCGGTTCACGTTAAAATATTAGTACTGTCATTGTGTTGTAATGTAAAATAAAATTATTTTTATTTCTATGATTATTTTTGTGTAATACTTGTTTTTATAGTAAAATATTAAAAAAATTATATTTCTTGGATTGTTTTTATTCAGTCATTTTTATATTGTTAAGCCTTTCACATTTCGCAAAATTCACATTTTGATTGCATATTGTATTTAATGCATTAGCATGTGTGTGTGTGTGTGTGTGTGTGTGTGTGTGTCTGACCCAGCTGGGCGAGTCTGGACAGCTCATCGTCGTTGTCGGTTGTGTGCGCTCGTCCGATCTGGATCACCTGGTTCTGACCGTCACTGGTGGTCTTACAGAGAAGAACCCGGTTGGTTCCTGAATACACAGAAATGAAGAAAACAACGACACGATCAGCACACAGAGTTTGATTCCTCAGATCGTGTGTGTGTGTGTGTGTGTGTGAGAGTGTTAGTGTGTCTGAGAGAGAGACAGTGTGTGTGTGTGTGTGTGTGAGAGAGAGAGAGAGTGTGTGTGTGTGTGTGTGAGAGAGAGAGAGAGTGTGTGTGTGTGTGTGTGAGAGAGAGAGAGAGTGTGTGTGTGTGTGTGTGAGAGTGTTAGTGTGTCTGAGAGAGAGACAGTGTGTGTGTGTGTGTGTGTGAGTGAGTGCGAGTGTGTGTGAACATACCGACATTAGCGATGTAGAGTTTATTATTGAGTATCAGAGCGACTATGGCAGTGGCTCCTCCTGAAACCTCCTGCTCCAAAGCCTTCAGCCGCTCCGCCATCTTCTGAGTCTGAGCTGACAGATAGACGCCCTGAGAGTCAGACAGACAGACAGACAGTCTTATCCAGAGCAGAAGCAGTGATCCGAGTCTCTTCATGCACGTGTGCTCACCTCAGGAAGCTGCGTTTGGAGGCTTGCTTTCTCTGCAAGAGCATCATCAATGGTCTCAAAGTAGCTCTTCTCTACAACATCAAAAGCCTGAGAGACCAGCACAGAAGACATTATATTAATAATTACTATTATCAACCATTTTATTTAAATTTATTCTTAAATGGCATCAATTTTACATTTATTTATCATTTACAGATCTTTTGTACTTAATTCATGTTATGTTCCTTTGCACTATTTTATCCAAAAATGTAATCTGCTGTTCTCACCCTCAGATCATCTGAGATCAGGATGAGTTTGTTTCTTCATCAGATTTGTAGAAATGTAGCATTGCATCAGTGTCTCAGCAGTGGATGCTCTGCAGTGAATGGGTGCCGTCAGAATGAGAGTCCAAACAGCTGATAAAAACATCTTAGTGCTGGATGTGTTTCAGCTTTTGTCTTCTCCAGATGTTAACTGATGGACTGGAGTGCTGTGGATTATTGTGATGTTTTTATCAGCTGTTTGGACTCTCATTCTGACGGCACCCATTCACTGCAGAGCATCCATTGCTGAGACACTGATGCAGTGCTACATTTCTCCAAACCTGATGAAGAAACAAACACATCCTGATCTCGGAAGACCCGAGGGTGAGCACATTTCTGTCAGATCTCAAACCTGTGAGAGGATTCTGCGCACGTCTGCATCCGTGTGACCGGTGATCAGCTGACCCAGCAACAGCTCCGCCGTCAGACGCTGAGACACGAAACTAGCCACGCGGCTGCCGTCGTAGCCGTTAAACACGCCGTACAGGAAGCAGCACTCAGTGCTGAGGAGGGAACAGGAAGTGACATCAGTTCACACTGATCAGAGTCTGCGCAGGCGTCTACGAGCGGCTCTACCTGAAGCAGAAGTGTCCGTCTTCGTTGGGATGGCTCTGGGTCCCTTTCCCGTCGGGGCCGTACACACAGTTCGGGGCCGAACCGACGCCACACAGCTGACACAGAGGAAGAGCGTCAGTCCAGCTCTGATGCTGCAATCACAGCAGACACCTGATCATCAATCGCTCCGATCGGCCTACAGATCAATTACTGAACACTTTCAGCACAGCATGATGCTCTTATGTCCTTGATTTCCAGTAAAACTACGGAAACATTCGGAAATCAACATATATTCACTTGAGGTGCAAAATGATATAAAGACCTGGTTTCTGAAAATGAGTGCGGCCTGTGAAATGATCAAATGTTTTTGTTTACATAGTATATGTGTGTGTACTGCACTGTGTATATGTATTATGTATATACAAACACACACACATACATGTATATATGTGTGTGTGTGTGTGAGTGTGTGTGTGTGTGTGTGTGTGTGTGTGTGTGTGTGTGTGTGTGTGTGTGTGTGTGTGTGTGTGAGTGTGTGTGTGTGTGTGTGTGTGTGTGTGTGTGTGTGTGTGTGTGTGTGTGTGTGTGTTTGAGTGAGTGTGTGTGTGTTCAGGAGATGCGGCGGTGGGGAAGAGCTCACTGTGTCAGATGTTCCGCAGTGACGGCGCTGTCTTTCAGAAGAACTACACCATGGTAAGAACAACACACACAGAATCACTGAATAGAGTTACTGAGATCAACTGAATAGAGATGATAGGTGTATTGTAGAGCAGAGGTTTGCAGACTGGGGCCCGGGGACCCAAAGGGGCCACAAGAGAGTAACACAGGGTCCATGGAAAAGTTTCGACAAAAACAATAAATGTAAAAAAAAAAAAGTTGAATAAATAAACGAGAGAGAGAGAGACACAGGTGCAGATCACGGCGCATCCACCACATCAGTGTCACCTTTAGTGTTGCAAATGACTGACTGATTTGGTCAGAACTGAACTGTGTGTGTTTTGGAGAATGTTGGTGTGGAGCTGCTGGAGAAATCAGTGTCCATCCCAGACACCGGTGATGCTGTGGTACACACAGACACACACTCACACACACACACACATCATACCTGCTGATTGATTGATTGGTGTGTGTTTTGTCTCTATCAGGAGCTCTATAGCTATGATTCAGCTGGACAGGAGCCATTTGCAGATGCCTGTGAGAACATGCTGAGTTTAATCAAAACAACCCAAACACACTCAGTGTGGCCCTGATGTGTGTGTGTGTGTGTGTGTGTGTGTGTGTGTGT